CTTGCTTTTAATCTTTTGTAAGGAAAGGATCAAAATCTTCAGGTTGAAAAAAAATTCAAGTTTTCTCTCCTATTCTTTAGGGAAACCACAACAAAGATAGCATTGAACAAAGAATTAAGGGCCTTCAAGAAAAGCTGGATGCATTGAATGATGCCGCAAAGAGGCGACAGGACGGCCTTGTGGATAACTCTGCCTTCCTGCAGTTCCTATGGAAGACGGATGTTGTGGAGAGCTGGATCGCAGATAAAGAGACTCAAGTCCGATCTGAGGACTATGGACGGGATCTGTCATCAGTTCAGACTCTGCTTACAAAACAGGTAAACATATGAATAAACTGTTGTTAGATTTACAATATAATTTAAGTACATGTAATTGCTCAACTATTAAAATGTATAGAGATGTTGAAAATCAGACTTTATTAAAAAGTCTGCATACATGTAATTATTGGAGTAAAGGTAAGTACATCCTACATTTTGAAAAAAAAATCCAAATTCAATTAAGTCTAAATGCATTTATTTGTTACACATAGGAAACTTTCGATGCTGGTCTTCAAGCTTTCGAGAAGGAAGGAATCCAGACCATTACTTCACTGAAAGATCAGCTGATCCAAGCCCAACATGCCCAGACTCCAGCCATCCAGAAACGTTACAACGATGTGATGGAGCGCTGGCAGAAACTTCTCAATGACTCTGAGGGAAGAAAACAGCGACTGCTGCGCCTTCAAGATAAATACAGACAGATCGAGGATTTGTATCTGACTTTCGCCAAGAAGGCATCAGCATTTAACAGCTGGTTTGAGAATGCAGAGGAAGATTTAACTGATACTGTGAGGTGTAACTCCGTGGAAGAAATTAAGGTCAGTGAGGCTATTTGTTTATATCTTCATTCCTTATAGTTTTTCTTCTCTAGTACATATGTTTATCTTAATTAACTGGTGTACATGGTGTATGGTAAAGGAAATTTTTATTCCTTTAATCCTTTACTGTTCATTGTCACAGATCTTGAAACTTCATTGTGCAGAATGTAATGAAAATGTGCAGTATATGCAGATCAAACTGCAAGTACATGGAAAAAACATCAGGTTTTAATAAGAATAAATCTTTTTAACAGTACCTGAGGGAAAACCACGATCAGTTTAAGGCATCCCTGAGTGCCGCTCAGGCAGACTTTAATCAGCTGGCTGCCCTGGACAAACAGATTCAGAGCTTCCAGGTGGGCACTAACCCCTACACCTGGTTCACCATGGAGGCACTAGAGGACACTTGGAAAAACCTACAGAGAATCATCAAGGTAAGAAAGTCTACCTACTGCTAAAATACAGGTGTTTACAGTACCGTGTGGCCCAGAATGCATATGATCTAACGGGGTTGTTGTGTACCTATATTATGAACTGACAAGGAAGTTGTAGAATGCATTATTTTGGATGTTGTAGGAGAGAGATGTAGAACTGAGCCGAGAACAACAGAGACAGGAAGAGAATGATCAGCTGAGGAAGCAGTTCGCTCAGGCCGCTAACGCCTTCCATACCTGGCTCACAGAAACTAGGTCAGTACAGGTGTAATACTCACCTGCCCAAGGCTACAAATGAGAAACAGAATTATTTTTTGTTTTATGATGATTAAAAAAGTTTTATATTATTAAAAAAAAAATAGAATGGACTTTTCACAAATATGATGGTACTTACATGTTTTATTTAATTTTGGGGAGAATTCTGTGTAACAAAATGTGTACTTTTTCTTTCCATGTACCTCTATATGACACTGTCAATACTTCACCATTCAGAATGTGGCTGTTGGAAGGGTTATTATTTATCTATTTCAGCATGTCTTCATTTGTCCCCAATGCTGTTTGCTCTCAAAGTCCCATTTTATAGAGAAAAAATGTTGCTATGACATACATTGATCATATATAGTCAACTGTATTGTGTATTAACTATTGCAAAATGAGGATGAATGCTGTGTTAACATATTGTTCATAGGCTTTCCTTCTAAACAAAGTTAATGATTTTGAAAATGAAGAATAGAGTATAAAAGCATGATATTTTTGATAATTTCTGGAAGATTTGAAAGAAAAAAGATTTTCTGGTCCTGTTTTTGTTGTGTACCAAGTAGTAACATTTTCCTTTAACAGTGATATATTAACATGCCTGTGAAAATCCAGCTCTGATGACTGCATTGTGACAACATTCAAACGTGTCTTTCAGGTCCTTTGTTGAAATAGCAGTTAAAATGGACTTCAGTTTTCAGTTCATGTTTGTCATAGTTTTACTAACAATCTAAACAATTGCTGGTATTTGAAGTCCATTGTCAGATTTACAGATATAGAGTATGAAGAAAATTCTAACATGCCACTCACAAAAGCTTACCCACCCATTTTAGTAACATTTAGACAGAAATACGTGTTTCCTATTCAAAGTTTAATTTCTGTCAATGCACATACAGTATATTTTAATTCGGGCTTTTAATAAAGGGAATTTAGAAATATAAATAAGATACAAAACTGAAAGAAATGACTGTTCCCTATATACATGTAAATGTAGCTAAATTATGAGTGTCAATTACAGAGCTGCAATGATGGAAGGATCTGGAACATTAGAAGATCAGCTAGAGGCTACTAAGGTAATTACAGTAAAACATGCTTATAATGAATTGAACATTACAGTGAAATGATTTTCATTCCCCGTGATTTTAAAATATTTTGTAATCTGAACGGATATTGCAAACATATTTATAACAAAGGAAAATCGTCCATCCCTGGCACTTTTTTTATAAGCGTGTCTTACTGTATATCTAAATCAATCCTCACTTCAAAGCTTAAAGTGTGGAACAAGATCTTATAAGAAATTTTTTCTTTGTTTAGCAAAAGGCTCAAGAGGTCAGGTCCCAGAAGGGTCAGTTGAAGAAGATAGAAGACCTTGGTGCTGCAATGGAGGAACGCCTCATTCTAGATAACAGGTATGTTCTAATTTAGTCAACAGGCAATTTCATTTTATCCCTCTGTTGAGGTAGTAATGAAATATTCCTACTTGAAACACAAACTTCATCAATCACTGATGACCTATTTGTCCATGTCATATTTTAGGTACACTGAGCATAGCACAGTGGGATTAGCCCAGCAGTGGGATCAACTGGATCAGTTGGGAATGAGGATGCAGCACAATCTGGAACAACAGATCCAGGCCAGGAACCGCAGTGGTGTGTCAGAGGACGCACTCCGAGAGTTCTCCATGATGTTCAAGTAAGCCTTTGGATAGGAACAAAGAGTTTATTGCTCCATGAAAAATTACCTGTGTAAATTTTAAGGGTATACGTTTTGTCCAAATGGGATCTAAATGTATTTTGTTGAGCTTGTGTGTGTGACTTTTCCGGATCTTTAACTAATTGAAGTTAAAATATTTTTGACAGAAGTGCACTTTGGAAAATTTTGTTTTCATTTTTAAGTACATGTATAACACATGAACATTATTTTGACAGGCACTTTGACAAGGACAAGTCTGGTAAACTGGATCATCAAGAGTTTAAATCGTGTCTGCGAGCCCTGGGGTATGACCTTCCTGTGGTTGAGGAGGGACAGGTAGACCCAGAGTTCCAAGCCATTCTGGACATGGTGGATCCCAACAGGTAAACTCTACAGTTAAAATTCAATTCAGATAAGAAGTACAAGTTACTTTTGTGTTGTGAACATTAAAAGAAAATAACATACTGACATAGAAAGATTACCTCCAAGTAACTTCACTTAACATTGATATGGATAAATGGTGTAGAGAACAGGTGCTATTGTTCTGTGTTTGATTTAAGTATTTCTCAACATTTCTCTGACAGGGATGGACATGTGTCATTACAAGAGTACATGGCCTTTATGATAAGTCGGGAGACAGAAAATGTTCAGTCCAGCTCGGATGTGGAACAAGCCTTCCGAGCTCTGACCTCTGGAGACAAACCATACATAACAGCACAGGAACTTTATGCGGTAACTATTACATAATATTTATCTTGAACTTTTTCAATCAAAATTCTTTAGCTTGCAATATGAAGTCAGATTCTTCTACAAGATTGTAAATGATATACATGTATCATATTTAAGGAAAGGAAAAAAGCTTGTATATTCTTTTAGGAGAGTTACAATAAAAATTTCTGATTTTAAAGTTAGTTTCAGCATTTTATTGTGTTATATTGCAGAACCTGACAAAGGAGCAGGCTGACTACTGTATAGCCAGGATGAGGCCGTATATAGACAAGTCAGGACGACCCATCCCAGACAGTTACGACTTTGTGGACTTCACCAAATCCATGTTTGTCAATTAGGAGTTGTGAACTTTTTAGGTGCATTTACCCCTTTCTTTTTAGTACACACTTTCTGACTTTGTTTAAGGTGGCTTATATTGTGCTTTGGTTGCATAGCTTAATCTAGGCTGAATCTCCTAGGGATTATGAACTATTTACAAAAAATTCTATGTAAACAGAATAGCTTCAATAAAGATTTTCCTAAGAATTTGAATGTGTGTTGATATTTTCATTATCTGTTATTAGTTAATTATGGACACAATTTATTAGATTTATTGCTTTAAACACAAGTATCTCTAAATATGTACAGCTGAATCTATGGAGTTGAAAGTATTGCTGACAATTTGGTTCTCAAAATATATGTAAATGTAATTTATAAGTAATGAATTTATTTATGAATGAATTATATACATGTATGCATATATTGTAAACGGCCTAATTTTTTTTCCTGTCATTTTTGTGGCAGAGGAAATGGTAAATGTGTTTATGAATAATCAATAGAAAACTGCATATCCAGAATGTAGGGGAAAAAATGGTAACATGGGCAAAATCAGTCAGATATAGCATAAACTTTGTAATTCGTCCATGGGAAATTGGTCATGCATTGTACAGAGGAAACATTTTAAACCTGAATTGGTTCTAGTATATGCAGTGTATTGCTTTCTTCATGGAATTGAATTCTGTCCTTTTGATACCCTGTGTAAGGTCAAAAAACAATTGTTTTTCAACTTTATTTTTATACCATTAAAATGACAATCCAAGTAACATATAACAATGAAAAGCTGATGGTTTAGATATCTTTAAATGGACATACAAGTAGGATTTGAAGATTGACATACGATGTATATATATATACACTTAATTCTTCCTTAATTCCACGTCATAAAATCACTACTTCTCAAGAACGTCAGAGTTATTTTGATATTCTGACATATAGATACAAGTTATTTTACAAAAGAGAGGTGTCAGTGGCAGGAAAGAACTCTGGGAATGTAGAACTTTATACATGTATGTGAAAAATCTTACAAGGCATTTAACAAACACATGAACAAGGCTTCATTTAGAGATTTGAGATCAACATATCAGCAAAGAACTTGGTATGTATATTTCAAACATATATCAAGTTAAAAAGTCATCAGAATCTCACATTTTATTACAATAAGACTAGTTAATGTTTTTTTTCCAATGGAAGACCTTAGAGTGTTAATTTTTCCCACCGAGTCTTATTTATATTTTTTCCAGAATCTATTCTATTTCATTTAAATAAAGGTCTTCCTTTTCTAACGGAAGTCCTTAAACTTTTTTTCTTATTTAATTTTTCCGAAATCTCACATTCTATTACTATGAGACTAGTTATACGGTCTTCCATTTCCAACGGAAGACTTTGTGTCTTTCTACCGATTCTTGTTCATTAAATTAATTTTTTTTTCATCTTGAAAATTAAGATTTTTCTTGTTACTATTATTTTTTTTTTCATTTGTATGTAATTTTGTTCTGATTTATTTTAATCTAACCATCCTCTGAGAACAAAGACGAAGCTTGCATGGTACTGTTTAAGAATTTTATCTTTAAGACGAAACTAAAATAATATATCAACTTGAAACTATCCAATGAGAAATTTAAAAATAGTTTAACGCACAATATCAATAGCGTTGTATTAAAAATGCCACAGTTATATATTTCAGTGCACACTGTATAGCAAACGTTCCAGTTTTGGCGGGAATTTATCTCATACAGAACTTCCACAGAGCAGATACTGTAAAATAATGGAGGACATAAGAGTCTGGAAGGTTTCGTCAGATATACTGCAGGAGTTTGTCAAGTGTGCCGGTGAACCATAAGTAGTGATTGCAGTATATTCTGGATTCGGTCTACATTGGTTATATTCTTCATCTGAAAATATTTATCAGAGTACAATTATGCACAAAAATTCATAAATCTTTCATCTGGAAAGTGTATCAATATTCACACTACCTTCGGAATAGTCCAAACATACGAAGACAGTACCCTCTAGGGAGGTTTGACACTCCTTAACAGAAGTGTCATTACAATCTGGAAGATTTGATGTCTTTAGACCACTTTGACATTTTCTGTATACCTAAATGAGAATTCAGTTATAGATGTATTTCACTAGAACAAGCTCTAAATGTTCAAATTTTCTGGAGAAAAATTCCATACAGTATGAACGTATAATGTTGAACAAACTTTGCATTTTTATTACTTTTACTATAACAAAGAGGTGCCTTTAATTGCCAAAGGTCTCTAGAAATGTCCCTATAAACAGAAGGTGATTACACACATTTATCTTACCGTGCTGTTTCGGTATTCACAAAACCTCCCAGAAAAAGCATCTAGACATAAACAACTGAGGTCAGATGCTAAATCACCAGGGCTACAATTTATTGTCCCTCCATTTAAACAAGGACCTGCATTATGTACACTATGTTTTTCACATTGTTCACCTGTCAAAAAGAAAGTCTTCACTATAGAAACCTGGCATACCGATGAAATTAAAATTCGCACTAAAATTCCGAATGAACACATCATGTGGCCTGTTTTGAAAGCCATTGATTCACCATATTCTCTAGATCTGGTCATACATGTACATGTGTATTTACAAATCGCCTTCTAATAGTCTCAAATATTTCTAGCCGCGAATACGATCTAAATTTTCAACCTTTACAAAGTTATGGATTGCACAAAAATTTATTTTCCAGTCCCCCAGTATGGTTGGTCATCCTACTGAAATCTATTTGTATTTACTCCACTGCAGTAAAAATAAAACAGTGGTCATTGCTACCCACAATTATAATTATTACTCCTGTAAAGTTAAATTTTCTCCAGTAAAATTCATTTATTTCTAAACTGACATTTTTGGGGGGTATTTTTACTTCAGATTTATAAATGAAATATTTAATTGTAAATAACAAAGGCTAGTGTTATATTTTTCCTTCAGTAAGGAATAAAATTAATTAATTGTGAGTTAAATGGCTTCAAAGTACATTTACTTCTATTAGGAAATAAATGATTTTTACCAGAGTAGAAATAATTTTATTTACTTGAGTAATAGTATAATTGTGAGTTGCAATGGCCAGAGTTTTATTTTTGTTAAAAGGAAATTATTGTGAGTAGCATGGCCATCCATACCCGAGAACATAATCCTGTTTGGATGACCCTGTTTTAGGTTTAAAAAACAAACCCTCTTATAGTGTAGCGGCTTACAGCAAAATTTCACCCGAATATTTCACTTGTGGAGATAAGCATGAGATCTGACAAAAATATCTGTCAGATAATACTGTTTCTAAAATCATCGTTGGTAATATCAATTTAATTTGGCCACTTTCAAGATATGCTACCGCTAAAACAAAATTTCTTTACAGCTTGGACTCACATATCATTAATATACTGTAATATTTTTATACTTTGACCGTTTTGTGATATAATTTGGTTATTACTCAGCTTTGCATAAGACATCTTAAAACATCATATTTCAAAACAACAGCGGAATGACATTTTATAACGCAATTCAATACCGCAATATATTGTTTCTAACTTGTAAATCAATCAAGAATAAATTGCGTGCATTATAACGGTGTAAAGAAACTCCAAGACGACATACAATGTATTAAATTCTTAGAGTGTGACATGAATGCAGATTTTCAATACTGCAATAACATAGAGAATGCAATGGGAAGACATGGCCATCTACATAATGCATCTGGGGACGTGAATGCAATAGGAGAACTTCTGGCTAAAATTCGTGAAATAAATGCACTTGTTATCGGAGACTCCATATTCCCACAAAATCTCGGACCTCGGTTATGTAAAAAAAATCTCAGACCTCGGTTATGTAAGAGTAAAACGAAAAGTATAAGTAACTCAGGACACTCCTTCTACTTGGCAAACTGAAAATAAGACTAGCAAACTCATCAGGAGGGGATATAGGCGCATTAAGTACAATGTTGAAAAACTGAAAGACATGAATCGAAGAAAAATCTAAATTCTAACTTAAGAATCGATTTCAAATTATAGATACCCCAGAGGATCTCGATAAATGAATGTGATACAGGCAAAGACATTTTCAAAATTACAGAATCTGCACAGACCAAAAAGCTGCACTGCGCTTTCTTATAGAGCAATATGTAGAATGGCAAAATCAATTTACATCAAGGATTTTGAAAATGTGTTTGATGAAATATGTGGAGATAACGAACAGTATTCGAGCTCAAAAGTCCATTAAACATTACAAAATAGGAGCAGAGCAAACACGGACCTCTAAGACATCAGAGGTGAGATGGATCAGGTGCCATGGAGGAGTGAGCATCCCCTGCCAACCGGTCACACCCGCCGTGTGCTCCTTGTCACGATCGGGAAATAACGGAAAAATCCGTCGACAATTCAGTGTGTAAATAATGGCCTAACAATTAGTATGAAAAAAGTCAGTCAGCATTTGACTTATGATACTGTGGAATCATCAAAATTCGTGGGGGCCAATTTTCGTGGAATGCTGAAATATTACAGGTTCGAGGGGACGTAATTTCGTGTATTCACTCATATTTACAAAAGGAAATTATGACTTTGAAACCCTAGTATATTAATTCGTGGAGGATGTAAATTCGTGGATGAAGGGTACCCACGAATTTCACGAATATTGAGCCACCACGAAATCTAATGAATCCACAGTAGATTGTATTTGCTGACTAGGTCATTGTATCGACCATAGAACTTACGAAATGATGACTTTAAACGAGACTGCTGATATCAATAGACAGAGTTTTATATAAACTACTTAGACATTATGGAATCCCAGTTAACATTGCCAACATGATAAAGACATTATACAAAGTCAAAAGTACAAATAATTCATAAAATAACCCTGACTACTAGTAATAGAACCATTTATTGTCAATATACTGGGGTTAAACAAGGTTGTTCACTATTACCAACACTATTTACAGATGTCAGATGGATACTAAGACAATCCTTTACAAAAGTGCCAAAGGAATTCAGTTCCCCTTCGGTGTGAGAGTATACAACCTACACTGTAAAGAAGACCTTCCTCTTCTGTCTCACACTCTAACAGACATGAGAGACAGCTAGGGTAAATCAAATTAAATAGGGGAAAAATAGGCTGAAGATCTATACCAAGAAAATAAAGTTACAGAGAGTCATGACCAAGAAATGAGGAAATGTAACATTCGAAGAAGATGATACAGAAGAGGTCAGTCAATTTTCTTATCTTGGGTTTGTTTGTTTGTTTGCTTGCCTGTTTAACGTCTCTTCGAGAATTTTTCACTCATTGAAATGCCACCACTTGCCGGTGCATGGAGGGCTACAAATACCTGTACTCGGCAATTACGGACTTTTACCAGTGAGGGATCTTTTTCATGCCAGCACCTACTGCGACATGGGATCTCAGTTGATACTAGTATGGTCTCATCAGTAGGACTAGTCTCCGCTTCACACATTGGATTCGAACCCGCGACGTAAGGATCAATTCCTTATTCCGTGACTCTACAGCAAAGGCTCTAACCACTGCGCTACGCGGCCTTATCTTGGTAGATATAAACAAAACAAAGTCAGCTAAAGGAACGCCGGAATTTGCTAAGATCAGCATAGAAGTCTACAACAACGTCAGAGAACGCCAAATTTGAAATATTCAACACCAACATGAATTCCGTTTTTCTTGACATCTTTACCCTAAACAGGGTTCCCTTGATTTCATTTCCCCTTTCAAGGGTTGTTCATTATGAGCATATCAAAAGAACTGTCTCGGAAGCAGAGCATACATTGAGATGGCTGGTATGAAAGTCGCAAACTTTACCTTTAAGTTTTATTGTATGAAATGATAGCGGATTTGGGTCCCACATGAGACATCTTTGGCGCCAATGACAGTCTCATGCCAAGAAGTACTTGAATAGGTGTAAAATTACTTGTTTGGGTAATTGCAGTTGTTTTAGGAAAGAAAACCTTGTACTGCTCTATGCAGCTTGACTGCTCTGAAGATTCGATCTTTTGAGTAATAATAAAACAACAACAAGCTGTACTTTAGCGCATGCTCACTGCATATATACATGAATTAACACTTTAATTGTATGTTGAACCAAATTTTGATTGAATATTTCAAAGGTTTTTAATTTTTTTTTTGGGGGGGGGGGGGTGAAAATGCTTAACATGCAATGTAAAAAATTATGCCATTTTGAAAATCATGGCGGTTATTTTGAAAATGGCTGAAAGTTAACTTGAATGGCCAACCATATTTCCTTTTCAGTTACTAGACAAGGAACTTTCGTGCCAAATTTGGCGCTTGTCTCACCAAGTGAAATATTTGTTCGACTATCCGCTCTAGTGAGACCAGCTGAATATCAACTTTGTGACTTCAAAATTTTTTAACAGGATTAAATTAAATTGCAGGCTGAAAAATGGGGCAGACGATAAACAATTTGCTCCTTACCTTTTATCCTCGATATATTTTGTAAAGTATAATCTTTTAATGTTTCCTCAATATAAAATTTTATGTACTGATATTTAATAATAGTAGTCACTGTATCTTTGACATCTTTCAAATGTAGAATCCATGTTGTTTATTTCAACTAACTATCTTCTACTGGGTTAAGGTTGTAGACAGACAGAGCAAAAAGAATAGATAAAGAAGGAGCCAGATCAAAAAAAAGAATTTTACCTCCTATGATGAACTCAGGGAAGAAAGAGACTTACATTTCATGTGTTTTATACTGTCAGCCTGGTCATTATTTCTGCATGCTGTATAGTCATGATATTCCTCATCGGCTACATGGTGGTAGGTACAGACACATTCTGGAAGTATAAAATCTCCACCACACTTTATCTGTGACTGCCCTACAAGTAATCAGTCTTATCTTAATGAAATCAAACTTTTTTCATAAGTGATTTTTTAAAATTTTTTTTTGCATTTCAGTGAAACAAACTTTCCTTCCAAAAGTTCATAGTATCGTACTATTATCTATTTTTTCTGTTTGCTTTTTATCTTAAGTCCAAGTTCAAAATACTATGAATACTGCATAAAATGTTACTTATCAAACATAAATGTTGAGTGACATGTAAGCCGGGAATAAGAAATAACAGCGTCTTAAGTAATTCGTATATGTTTTCCCCCCACCCTACAGATCCTACCTTTACCGTCACGTCCTCTGCACAAATACGTGTGTGTTCGGTTTAACAGGAACTCTGGAACTGTATAAAACACACCCTTTTTTATTTGCTGGGAAATTAAATACATATGTCTAAACATTTTTTAAAATAGAGTTTTATCAAATACAGATTTATCAAATGTACCTATAGAGAAATTCTACTTTTAAAGCAATTATCATCCCTCCCCAAATCGCAACCCTTATAAAAGCTCAAGGGAGCTTGTTTATGAGTTGTGTCTGCGAATCATATCAAAATGCTGGAGATTAGCCCAAACAACTAACAACTCAAGCATGGTAATTTGACGAATACCTTTAAATATATATATACAATATGTATATAAGATTTTCTTTCTTTTTTTCAATTGTTGCCCGTGATCGGAAGGCCATGAGTTCGAATCTCGGCCGCGACTGACCTAAGTCGATAAAAAAAAAAATAGGTACCGTTGCAACTGTTCCTTCGCCAGGCGCTAGGCACTTTGAAGTGAAAGTTGCGGGGCCTTCGGATGAGACCTTAAAAACCGAGACCCCGTGTCGCGGCAGACGTTGGTACGATAAAGATCCCTCACTGCTCAAAGGCCCTGAGTGCCGAGTAAAGGTCTAAATTTGAACCCCTTCACCGGTATATGGTGACGTCTCTATATGAGTGAAAAATTCTCGAATGGGACGTAAAACTACATACAATCAATCAATCAATCAATCGTTGCCATAAATCGTCATTATTTTTGCATCTTCATTTAGGAGCTACACTGGCTTACTTGATATTGAACTACTGAAGATAAACCAACCCTAAATGATGTATTATGACTAATTATGATAAACAAAGTACACGATTCCATGAACCACAGGCAGTCCTTGCAATATACTAATTTGAACGTGTGTAATGTTCACACTAGACATGGTAGTAATTTGTGTACAGACAGACTGATGAGATTTACTGCGTGTGTGAATGTAGCTGCAATAATGTAGTCCTCTCCGATTTTTTTTGGGGGGGGAGAGGGCTACAACTCCTTAGGATCTCCGTAATGGTGCAAGTGCGGGAGTGATTCACTACCGCACAGATTTCGGCTCAAATTATCAGTAAGTGGGTATTTTATTGACATATCTTACCTGAACTCATAAAATGTAGTTATGCAAGACATGAATAGATCCAAAAATATACAGAACAATCCGTATATCGGTTAGTTTTCGTGTATGTCAACATCCCAACTTAAATTTATCCGCCATGTTTACTGACCTTGATCGATTTTATTTTGGGACAACCAATGAGAATTCGGGATCTAGGGGAGCGGATCGTTTAGGATTTCCCTTATTTTAAGCACAAGTATCACTGTTTATGAAAAAATATCCCATGGAATGCTTTTATTTATCGATGTTTAGTGATATTATACAACACAAACATTTATCAACACCGGCATTTACTTTATCAAGTGATTCCAAATTTCAAGCGTAAGTCTCAGTACATCACGCGAGAACTGTCATGGCTGCTGAAGAAAACGACTGGTAAACACGCATAAATTATTCATTTTACTTGATATTCGCGTGTGAAGGGCTATGATGTTGATAGTGAATAAAAATTCCGTCTTATTGGAAGTAAGTTGAATGCAAAAACAATTGACTTTGCATGCAGTCGCCCGTATCAAAAAAAATAAATTTGCACCATTACGGAAATGCAGTGGAATTGTAGCCCTCTCCTGAAAATATCAGATTAAAAAAAATCGGAGAGGGCTACATTATTGCAGCTAGTGTGAATGCAATCTATAGTTCACAAAAATATAATCAAACCAGCATTTCACATAAATAAAATCTACAGTTTCTTGAAATGTGAAGATAACGAAAATTTCACAAGCTCAAAGTCCATTGAAACAAAACAAAATGCGAGCAGGGGAAACATGGACCTCAAAAAAAAAATCGGAGGGATCAAGTACATGTACCATGGAGTAAGCATTCCCTGTCGACTGGTCACATCCGCCGTGTGCTCCTTGTCATGACTGGGAAATAACTACTCCTACAAGTAAGAGCCTCGGTTAACGTCCCTACGCTCCTTATATATACTCCTACAAGTAAGAGCCTCGGTTAACGTCCCTACGCTCCTTATATACCTCGGACTCTTACATCCGAAGGCCATTTTCTCCATTAGCTCGTTCCGCCTAAGATTTTGGGCGGAACATATTATGCGTGAAATAAACTGTAAACAAGTAATTCTCAGGTACCTACGTGTTGCATGGGGTATAAAAGTCACAAGAAATCCTAAAATCCACTTTATTCAGTATGCATCATTGTTCATTAATCAAAATCGTCATTATTTCAATTTGTCACCAGAATTACTTTCGATTTGACTTCGTGATAATTTTGCGGATTGCTAGTCAGAAAACGAAAATTTCAATGATTTCATAGCGGAAAACTAGTTTCGTTTCGTCAGATATTCTGCATTCCATTCCAGAATTTCAAACAGACGACTTGTTTTCATTTCTGCTTCGATTTTAAAAATAATGGATTTATCGCTAATAAGAGAGATTAACATTGTTTTATGTGTAAGTTTTATCGCAAATAGTGAATATTTTATTGTTTCGTGTCATTCGTTAATGCTTAAAGCCTGAATTTTAATTAAACAATTTATTTCCACTTGGGATTTCAGCGGCGAGAATTTTTACAATGGATGCTAGAGGTTACGCGGCGCCAAGTCAAAAGTATCTCGCCGTGAACCTCTAGCATGCTGGAGTAGGAAATAACGGGAAAATCCGCAGACAATTCAGTATTATACAATTAAGTACCCCTTTTGAGGTCAACACCTGGCCCACGAGATGACCTAACCTGACCGAGGCCAGCGAGTGGGCCAGGTCGAGGGTCCTTATTTCACCATGTTGATCTCATAAGGGGTAATCAATTGTTTTATTATACCGATATATGTTAAGACAATTTTTGTAGGCTTAATTGCTAAAAAAAAAAAATAGTATTACCGTATACGATTTTTTTTTTAAATAAATAATATTATTACACGCCGGGAGCAAGCCCCTGTGTTGTAACGAAAGTTTCAATGAAAACGATAAATTTTTATAACGCATCTGAAGGACAATCGTATTCCGTATCATAAAAAGACTAAGGGCCTATACATATTTTTTATAACGGCGTTTTCTGTAATGAACAGCCATTTCTGTATGCATTGATTTTTAAATTTGAATGGAATTTAGATTAACAGGTCATTTTTAGCGGTCATTATTTATAATGACCGGGTCATTATACCCCACGTGCAATGATTCCTAGGTCATTATTGCTGTAAACGGTACTATTTGGAGTCATTATTGAGTTTAAAAGCCTTCTAACAAGCCAATCAAATTTGACTATTCTTAATAGAGGTATAATAAATGAAAATCGTTTATGAAAGAGGTTGTCAACATTCATCTTAACGATAGATAGTATTTGCTGACAAGGTCATTGTATCGACCACAGAATTTGCGAAATGTTGACTCCAAACGAGACCGCTGTATCCTTCTATCATCAACTTTTCTGTCAATAGCCTGCCTCGCAAGAACAATAACTCGCGAGTGGGCGGTTGATCAAAAGATTTTACATGAATTTCAGCACCATAAAAGTAAAAGTGAGTAATTCATTTCGCGAGTGGTGCTTCTCTCGAAATTACGCAAAAATTAATGCCTGGCGTATATTTACGAATCTACAGTAAGGGAAGTTGACGATAGAAAAATTGAAGTCATCACGTTTATTATAAAGTTTAGTTGTTAGTTTTGCATCAATGTCTTTTTCTAGTAAAATATAACCAATATGTAGCAGATAAGTAAGACTCTTTGGTGTCTTATTTCGAGTTCAAAAGAATATCGAATCAATGTAGGAATGAAAATGAATATTGTTAATTGATAAAACGTGGTCGATATATCTAAATGTCGAATTGAAGGTCAAAGCACGAGACTTTTTCTTTCCATGTAGCAATTCAAAAAATTCCGGGGTCCGTTTTTACAAAGGAACTTACGACTTAAAAAAAGCTTTAGTTGATTGATTTACGAGGTACATCTTAAGTGAAAAAGCAGTTGACTATGATGTCAAAAGCCTGGTCTTTAATTTATCGTGGGGAATTTAAGGGTTGTATAAAGTGTTGAAAAAGTCGTACTTTTGATGCTATTAATTTTGGTAAAATTTTGATTTTAAATTTTCTAAAGATTCCTTGGAGTTTTTAAGTATTAACATCTGATTAACAACACTTCTCGCATATGTTGTTGTATAGTACTCCTGAAGTTTTTCCTTCAGTGCTTTTAATATTTTTATGAGGATGTTTTCTTCTAGCACTGCCTATTTAATATTTATATGTTTGTTCATTTGTATTTTAGATTGAGATTGAACACATGGTACGTATTTAATGAATTTTTAAATTGAACAATCTGGATTGAGTAAGAAATTAATGAAGTCTGATGTATATATAAAAATCGTACCTTTTGGTATACCAAATCTTGTCATATTGGACTGCACAATATTACATGGATGGCTGACTACAAGAAATAATATAATAGACTTAAATACATAATCCCAAAACTGGATTATCCATTAAAGATTTGTTACTTATGGCATATATTGCCGTCCTACATATATCGTCCTGTTAGGTCACTGGCAGGGCCAAAAAAAATATGCCGTTGCAAGGAATCATCCATATGGGTAAATATATAAAGCATTGGTATTATACATTTGAACGCATTTACGAAAATGACCAGTCAAGTTATTTTTCAATAATAATAGTTCATATCTTAATTTTCTTACCCTTTTGGCCTGGGGTGGGTGGGTGTTTGCATTTTTTTAAAATTTGCTTTATTTACAGTGTGCTATCAAACATAATACAACAATTCTTTTCTGATCTAAAACTTATCAAAATTATTTAGTACATAGATAGGATCATTAAAACAATGCGTAAGACATATTATTGGGTTAATCATATTCTTTGAATTGTATATTAATTTAAAAACAATACAATACGACTATTACTGTTTTGAGGGTCAATTACATGATAATTTAGCTAACAAGGAGTACAATATTAACCAAACCCGAAGTGGGAAGTGATTATTGTATTTCGATGGTTGCTTAACCATAGTACTGACCAAAAAAGCAATGAAACCAATCTGTGAGTCAATGATTAAATAATACAATCTCGTGTAGTAAATCTTGCCATCTTTTTAGGTTATAATAAATATTATTATTATCATCATTATTATTAAAGCAGTGTGATATTATTTCACTTAACCAATCGATTCATATATTCTAGTCAAATGTAGAAAAAAAAATCGAAAATGTTATGTTCACCTGGAAGGGCAGCTGCAGATAACATAACTCGTAAGAAGTTCACAGTCTATTTTTGGGCCAATGTGTAGAAAAAAAAATAAAATGTTACGTTTACCAGGAAGGTAAAAAAATCAAATTATTCACATGGAAGGTCGGGTGGGGGTGAATTTAATTTGAACTTTTAAAAGTTGGATTTTCAGCCTATAAAGGAGCTAGGAATCAATCAATCATAGTATGAAATATAAAATGATAATACAGAATGTGATTACATGTATATATGATAAACTTGTAATAACAAAGCTAATATATAATATCATATGATATAATATTTACATGTTATATGAAATAATATAATTCCTAGTTCTCTGACTTGGATCCAACATTGTAGAAATCATAATAAGTTATGTTCACATGCACGAGACTTTCCAAGTGAACACAGGATTTATTTTTTTTCTACATTAGACATGCTAGACCAAAAATAAATCGAGAACTTCAAAATTGATATAATTAGTTATGAAAAGTTATGTTCAACTGCACCCGACCTTCCAGTTATATAATTGGTTGTTATACAATTATTCCCACTTGTGATGTCAATACAATGATTTAGCTCTCCGAGGAGTACAATATTCTCTGAGCCCAAAAGTGAGAATTGTACTTTCAAGGTTGCTTAACCATCATATTAACTGAAAAAAAAAACAGCAATGATTGTTTTATTATATGTTTTAATGATCAAAGTTATGATACAAACTCGTTAAGCAAACTTTGTCATCTTTCTTGATTGTTTACATTTGTTGAAGTTCTAGCTAAACGCAAGAAAAAAGTATTAAAACAAACATAACCAGTTGTAATATTTGGAATTTTTTGATCCATTTTTGGTCGGATATAAAAAAAAAACAGTAATGTTCTCCTGGAAGGTTGGTCGCAGATGACCTCAAAAACAGCATTAATTGTATAATAAATTTATATATATATATATATCGGTTAGATGAAAATGCATACTTGCGCATATAATAAAGATATATCATGCTAATTTAAAGTTTAAAACTGAAATCCATGTATGCCAATTTTTCAAACGTTTTAGAACTTTTATTTCACCTTCTTCCCAAATGAGAATATGCTCTGTGAAGCATAAAGAGGAATTGAAAGAGTATTAAATTTCACTTACGGTGTTTCATGAGCTGTTTAAACAAATTTGGAGTTTATTACTTATATTATAGTGCATCTTTTGCTATGGAGTCAGAATAAAACATAATTTTCATTCAAGTCATCACAAACAATCATATGATCGGTCTAAACGACGGATAAAAATGTAATTGTCAGCGCTTATGATCATACATACCTTGGGTATTAAATTGTTCTGAATTTGCCAACGATATCCATATTAGAAAAACATGCATGAATCTTGCTGGCATTGACATGTTTTCATCTGAAAAAAAGGATGTGTAAGCTCAACGTCTGCAGGGAGAGGAGATCATAAAAATTGAATGCAATAAATATCCCCAATGTTTGTATTAGCTCAAATGATACATTTCCGGTATTGTAATACCATGGTCCCCTCTTAGGAGGAATCCCTCTCAACTGTTGACTTTACATTTCAAATGGCAGGTGCTTTTATAATGTTGTGTGTACGCGTCAATGTGCACTTGATAATAAAACCCACTCCCCCCATCGCCTCAAAAAAAGTTCAATCTTTCAAGTTCGGGCAGCTATTATGCATAGCTTTTAAGATGTTTCAATTTGATTACGCTTCTTCTGAAGTCTTAATGAATCAAAATTTGTTATATCTCTTAGAAATTTCCTATGTAAAGTCTAACATTTTCTAACGTTTTGATTGGACTGTTCAAGAACTTTTACTTGGTCACTCATCCGGAAAATGTAGGTCAGATCCAACATCCACAGCAAGTCAGGAAGATACATCATCTTTGCAATTTATCCCCATAGGGCTAATATAGTTATTGGGATTGAGACTTGCTTCTAAAACTTTCTCTAAAAACATCAAGCTGGTCTCTTTTTCGAAAGATATTGGCAAAAATGCAGCATCTCATACCTGATACGTGCAATGAAACATAATTGACGTATAATACAATATGAGGGAAAATTACTTGGAAAGAAATCTCTTCCAAAAATAACTTGGGACGCAGACTGACGGCTTTGGTATTACACTAGCTCCCCCAACTTCGTCGACGTGAACTGAAAATAAAAAAAAAAAAAAAAACAGTACTAAATATACACATACATGTAATCTCTGATATAACTAGTGGTATGGGCCTTAAACAGAAATTATTATACTGAATTGATTGAAAATATTACAGGGTGGTATGAAATATGGGGCGTGCCCCCAATAATTTTGCCAGTATCAAAAGAAAATTCATTTTAGATATTGCACCTTATAACAATAACGCCTGATAACCCTCTCACAAAAAAAAAAACCAACAACATTTTTCTTGCTTGTCAAGAAATTTCTGATCTGTTTTGCCCTCAAATTGAAATTTCTTCCTTCTGTTCTGTAAATTATATCACAGATTTAAAATACAAATTATTAAAATTCATAATAATATACATGATATACTTGCATGGTTAAAGATCACATCACAATGCGTCAAATAAGTTTAAAGCATTCAGAGTTATGGAACGCCAAAATCACCATCACATAAAGAAAACCCAAAAGCATATATGCTGTATCACATGAGACAGCTATGGTTCCTCATATCCAAGTACTTTGATTACTTGCATAGTGAAAAAAAGTTTTAACGAATATGTCCCCTATTCTCTACACTTGATGTATATAAAAGAACAGCACACCCTCTACAATCTGGATCAGTCATGAAGCGTGGTACGAGTTATTTCCTGGTACATCTTAAACATTATTGGTATTGACAAACTTGGCAAACTGCCGACTCTCTGCTTTAAAATAGATAAATATTGTGGTTAAGCTTAATTACGTTTATATTTATTAATCTGTCTTAGAGATGCACATTTATTTTATTGATAACTGATCAGATAAATAAATTTTCAATGAAAAATTGGAATTCCAGGTTTGATTTGGCAAGGAACGTCAATTACGTGTCTCTATTTTATCTTAATGTGAATTTATCGATACAAAATTTTAAATCTCTACCGGGTTCATGGTCTGCTGATTACCTTTAAAGTCTTTCCAACAATAACAAGCGCTTCCATCTATTTTTTACTATTGCAAAATTAATAATTTTTTTTTGTGTTGAATAAGAAATACCTTTCAACATTGAAGTTTCTCCATTTCCAAACCATTTTCCTCAAGTTGAGTATACATGTATTCTATGGTGGCAAAGTTCTGCCACCACTTGTCAGATATTTATGTCAACTTGTCAGATCTTTTTGTTGGCTTGTCAGTTTTTCTTGTGCTTTAGAATTCAATATGAAAACGTCTCCATACCCAGTATGTGTCATCCAGTTGACATATTTTGTGACAAGCCGATATAAAACGACATACAATGATGACCATGAAGTTTTTAAAAAAAATTTTCGTTTGAATGGAAGGTTTTGGTCTTTTTTTTTTTCATAGAATGTCGGTTTGTACATAGTGACACGCCCATTTCTGTAGAACGAGAAAGCAATATTTGTCGCAATGTTTTAGGACACTCCACTCTCTGCGACTAGCAACACGAGTTTTGCTAAAATGGAGATTTTATAACGTAAGGGGAGAGAGTAAACGTTAAAGTCTCTCCGACTATGTAAAACTCACAAATTGCGATGGATATGTACATAATATATATCATGTTTATTGAAGTTGAAACAACACGTGTTTCGATCGAACACGTGTTTATTCGGAGTTTATTTAGACTGTCAAGTGTCAATGTGATTGGCATTTGTATGTATGGAATACCTGTTCTACAGGTATTCGCATTAAATATTTGACCACTTTTTCTTTTTGAACAAATGGGCGTGTCATTATGTAGCAACCAACGTTCAAAAGAAACCTCAAAATGTTCCATTCAAAGAGAAAATTTTACCATTTCAATGAACATCAATATAAAGAAGTTTTCTTTTGTTTATTTTTTTTTTCTGAAAAAAATTCTTCTGAAGATCACCAGGTCCAATAGACTCAGCAGAGCGTTGTCACCCTTAAGCCTCTTTTATTTCGAAATCAACAAATAAAAAAACTGCATATACAGTGTACTTCAATTTCTGTACAATTTACGTCCTATTTGAGAATACTTCACTCAAATAGAGCAGTCACCGGTGAAGGATTTCAAATTTAGACCTACTCTCGGCGCTCAGGACCATTGAGCAGCGAGGGTTGTTTATCGTGCCAACGTTTACCGTGACATGGAACCTCGCCTGAGTTGCACAGTGGTTAGAACGTTTGCTCTTGAGTCGCGGTGTAAGGAGTTGATCCTTCCATCGAGTGTTCGAACCCACTGCGGATCTAATCCTTCGGATGAGACCGTATAAATTGAGTTCCCGTGTCGCAGTAGGTGCTGTCACGGAACAGATCTCTCACTGCTCAAAGTCCATAAGTGCCGGGTGTCGGGTAAATTTGCAGTCCTCCATCGACAAGTGTGGCATTTCAATATGAGTGAAAAATTCTCAAAGGGACGTCATACAAACAAACAAAACCTCGGTTTTCACGATCTCATCTAAAAGACCCGTAACTTTCATTTCTAGATATTATTAGGAACCATTTCAAAAACAGCTACAGTGATTAATTTTGGTGTGCGTCCTGCGTAAATTACGCATAAATTTTGCTCAGGACGCATTATTTCAATAAATGTGCATCCCAATGGACGCATTTAATTTATAAAATGAAAGGTATAATTTTAAATTATTTTGGTATAATCTGCTTCAAAACTTGGCCATTGCATCATATCCACGTGCTAAGCGATATGCATGAGCGATTTTAACAGGTATAAGGTTGTCAACAACAGGTCAGATTTCACACTTCACTGTTAAATTGCATTTAACAATGAAACAATTAGCAGAAAAAGAAAGTTCAATATTGTCTGCTTAAGCGTTTCTGAAGCGTATACTATATGTTTGTATTTTAGCTGTAACCTGAATCATTTCAATTTCTTCCGTAGAAGCTAATAAGTATTTTATCATTCTTCTTTCACTCTATTTTTCTTTTTTTTTTTTTTAAAGAAAACTTTCTTTACTTCATTCAATAGAACAACTGGTTTATTTCTGTGCATTTTATGACAGAACTGTATATATCAAAATACAAATTATGTGTGAAATCGTAAGTACGATCTAAAAATAGAACCAAGGTGCACAGTTGACAATATATTATTTACATGCCACAAAATCATTTATTCTTACTTCCAAATTGATAGTAATTATAGTATAAACAGATAAACCACTCACAGCTTCAATAAAACAACTGCACTTTCGGACAAAACCCTTATTTCACCAGAATTTCCTCTGCAGTATCTAATATACAGTACCATTGAGTACCCTTGGATTTGGACGCATTGATTTTGGCATGGGACTCATTGTTGTTAGTAAAAGGGGTCCTTTGGACCCATGATAACCATTTTCAAAATGAATCACTGCAGCTAGATTTACTGTAGGATTGTATAAGGAATATTTTTCACACTTTTAATTTATAAATCAATTAAAATCTATTTATAAAAAATACTGTATAAAACTTTATTGCTGAAATTATGATATATGATGAATAATACTATCTGATACATTTTATGTAATAAACACAAAATTCTTCCGAATGGTTTCCAGAGGGGGGCAATTCAAAATGTCAAAGTTTACAAAATTTTCCTGCTTTTAAGGAGTACAAAAGATGACGGAAACTTTTTTTTATATTCCTGTGTTTAAAAATTGGAAGAGCATATTTTGTATACTCTTTTCTTTTATATTAAATTTTATGACCTCCTCTTAAAGAATTTAAGTTTATCATAACGTCCCTAGCGCACTAAAATAAAGTCCATCTACGTATCAGTTGAAAAATTGTTTATCATATCATGAAAAAACTGCTTCTTAAAAAAAATGGTAATCAGAGATTACAGGGCTCACCTTTAAGTAAGGCAAAGTCCCACACTAATCTAAAAATCTAGTAGTGTGCATCCCTAGATGCAACATTTATGCAATTTTGGTCTGATAGGGCTTGCAGTTACTTGGAAATGGACATATCTAAAAACTTAAAACGAGTCACTCATTCAGAAAGTGTAAGCCAAATTCAGCACCTGAAGCAAGTTTGAGTGTGTTCTTCTATTGATGCATCATCCATGCAAAATTGGTTCCGATAGACCTTATAGTTTCTTGGTAATAGACCTGCTTCAAAAACATTAAAAACCAGTCACTCATCTGGAAAATGTATGTCAAATCCAGCATCTGAACCAACTCTGGTAGTGTGCATTCCTTAAGGCAACATCCATGCAAGTTCGGTACAGTTAGGCCTTATAGTTTTTTTGGTCGCTCGTTTGGAAAATGAAGGTTAAATTCAGCATCGTAGTAACCCTGGAAGTGTGCATCGGATTCCTTAGATTATCATTCGTGCAAGTTTGGTCCAGGTAGGACAAATATTTACTTTTGAATGAACCTGCTCCAAAATCTTTTACCTGGTCACTCATCCGGAAAATGTATGTCAGAATCCAGGATCCGAAGCAAGTCCAGTGGTGTGCATCCTTAGGTGTATCTTCACATAAGTACTCTGAAGTTGATATTAAAAGGATGTTAGAGTTCCTAATTGATAGTATCTATGTAGTTTTTATAGATAAGGTCTTCCTGTTGGAAATTTCGATGGGGATTAATTGTGTTCCTTTATAAGCCGATCTGTTTTTATATTCCCATGAAGCTGAATTTATTCAAAAGCTTCTACATGAGAAGAAGAAAACACTAGCTGTGGCCTTCAATTCAACATTCAGATAAATCGACGACGTTTTATCAGTTACAATAGTTACTTCCAATCAGATATCGACTAGATATGTCCAAATGAACTCGAAATAAAAGACATTACAGAGTCTGCCACACTGTTTCATATTCGGATATTTTACGTATACTTCTTAGACTAATGATTAACTAACAACTGTATGACAAACGAGATGACTTCAGCTTTTCCATCGTCAACTTTATTTATGTAGTAATATTCCAATATCACCTACATATGGTTTTTATGTTCACTTCTACATGAAAAAGTGTACATGAAAAGAAGAAGTTCTCTTGTTGTGGCCTTCAATTCGACGTTCAAATATATT